ATGAGCGGCTCTGAGGCTGAGTCCCCCCACCCCCACCCCAGGGCAGGACCGGGCAGAAGGGCGTCGGTCTCCCCGGAGCCCCCTTTCTCCCAGGGCCTCCTTCCCGGCTCCGAGATGCCTTCGGGGCTGTGCTCTGAGTCCGAGGTTTAGGATTCGCCTTCCCCCAGGAAGCGTTGGTGCCCCACGATCCGGGACTCCACCCTGGGAGGGACCTGGGGGGCGGGAAGGGGCTGGGGGGGCCTGGCCCCCGGCACAGGCGGGCATCTGCTGGACGTGCCTCCCGAGGAGCAGGTGTGACCTCCGCCAGGCCATGTCCCCTCTGTGGACACCTGGGGGTCCCCCCCCCCGTGAGAGGCGCTGGGGGCCCTGGGGGCTTCCTCCCCGTCGTGAGAGGTGCTGAAGGCACCTGGGGGTCCCCCCCGTGAGAGGGGCTGAGGGCCCTGGGGGCTCCCTCCTCCCCGTGAGAGGTGCTGAAGGCACCTGGGGGTCCCCCCCGTGAGAGGGGCTGAGGGCCCTGGGGGCTCCCTCCTCCCCGTGAGAGGTGCTGAAGGCACCTGGGGGTCCCCCCCGTGAGAGGGGCTGAGGGCCCTGGGGGCTCCCTCCTCCCCGTGAGAGGTGCTGAAGGCACCTGGGGGTCCCCCCCGTGAGAGGGGCTGAGGGCCCTGGGGGCTCCCTCCTCCCCGTGAGAGGTGCTGAAGGCACCTGGGGGTCCCCCCCGTGAGAGGGGCTGAGGGCCCTGGGGGCTCCCTCCTCCCCGTGAGAGGTGCTGAAGGCACCTGGGGGTCCCCCCCGTGAGAGGGGCTGAGGGCCCTGGGGGCTCCCTCCTCCCCGTGAGAGGTGCTGAAGGCACCTGGGGGTCCCCCCCGTGAGAGGGGCTGAGGGCCCTGGGGGCTCCCTCCTCCCCGTGAGAGGTGCTGAAGGCACCTGGGGGTCCCCCCCGTGAGAGGGGCTGAGGGCCCTGGGGGCTCCCTCCTCCCCGTGAGAGGTGCTGAAGGCACCTGGGGGTCCCCCCCGTGAGAGGGGCTGAGGGCCCTGGGGGCTCCCTCCTCCCCGTGAGAGGTGCTGAAGGCACCTGGGGGTCCCCCCCGTGAGAGGGGCTGAGGGCCCTGGGGGCTCCCTCCTCCCCGTGAGAGGTGCTGAAGGCACCTGGGGGTCCCCCCCGTGAGAGGGGCTGAGGGCCCTGGGGGCTCCCTCCTCCCCGTGAGAGGTGCTGAAGGCACCTGGGGGTCCCCCCCGTGAGAGGGGCTGAGGGCCCTGGGGGCTCCCTCCTCCCCGTGAGAGGTGCTGAAGGCACCTGGGGGTCCCCCCCGTGAGAGGGGCTGAGGGCCCTGGGGGCTCCCTCCTCCCCGTGAGAGGTGCTGAAGGCACCTGGGGGTCCCCCCCGTGAGAGGGGCTGAGGGCCCTGGGGGCTCCCTCCTCCCCGTGAGAGGTGCTGAAGGCACCTGGGGGTCCCCCCCGTGAGAGGGGCTGAGGGCCCTGGGGGCTCCCTCCTCCCCGTGAGAGGTGCTGAAGGCACCTGGGGGTCCCCCCCGTGAGAGGGGCTGAGGGCCCTGGGGGCTCCCTCCTCCCCGTGAGAGGTGCTGAAGGCACCTGGGGGTCCCCCCCGTGAGAGGGGCTGAGGGCCCTGGGGGCTCCCTCCTCCCCGTGAGAGGTGCTGAAGGCACCTGGGGGTCCCCCCCGTGAGAGGGGCTGAGGGCCCTGGGGGCTCCCTCCTCCCCGTGAGAGGTGCTGAAGGCACCTGGGGGTCCCCCCCGTGAGAGGGGCTGAGGGCCCTGGGGGCTCCCTCCTCCCCGTGAGAGGTGCTGAAGGCACCTGGGGGTCCCCCCCGTGAGAGGGGCTGAGGGCCCTGGGGGCTCCCTCCTCCCCGTGAGAGGTGCTGAAGGCACCTGGGGGTCCCCCCCGTGAGAGGGGCTGAGGGCCCTGGGGGCTCCCTCCTCCCCGTGAGAGGTGCTGAAGGCACCTGGGGGTCCCCCCCGTGAGAGGGGCTGAGGGCCCTGGGGGCTCCCTCCTCCCCGTGAGAGGTGCTGAAGGCACCTGGGGGTCCCCCCCGTGAGAGGGGCTGAGGGCCCTGGGGGCTCCCTCCTCCCCGTGAGAGGTGCTGAAGGCACCTGGGGGTCCCCCCCGTGAGAGGGGCTGAGGGCCCTGGGGGCTCCCTCCTCCCCGTGAGAGGTGCTGAAGGCACCTGGGGGTCCCCCCCGTGAGAGGGGCTGAGGGCCCTGGGGGCTCCCTCCTCCCCGTGAGAGGTGCTGAAGGCACCTGGGGGTCCCCCCCGTGAGAGGGGCTGAGGGCCCTGGGGGCTCCCTCCTCCCCGTGAGAGGTGCTGAAGGCACCTGGGGGTCCCCCCCGTGAGAGGGGCTGAGGGCCCTGGGGGCTCCCTCCTCCCCGTGAGAGGTGCTGAAGGCACCTGGGGGTCCCCCCCGTGAGAGGGGCTGAGGGCCCTGGGGGCTCCCTCCTCCCCGTGAGAGGTGCTGAAGGCACCTGGGGGTCCCCCCCGTGAGAGGGGCTGAGGGCCCTGGGGGCTCCCTCCTCCCCGTGAGAGGTGCTGAAGGCACCTGGGGGTCCCCCCCGTGAGAGGGGCTGAGGGCCCTGGGGGCTCCCTCCTCCCCGTGAGAGGTGCTGAAGGCACCTGGGGGTCCCCCCCGTGAGAGGGGCTGAGGGCCCTGGGGGCTCCCTCCTCCCCGTGAGAGGTGCTGAAGGCACCTGGGGGTCCCCCCCGTGAGAGGGGCTGAGGGCCCTGGGGGCTCCCTCCTCCCCGTGAGAGGTGCTGAAGGCACCTGGGGGTCCCCCCCGTGAGAGGGGCTGAGGGCCCTGGGGGCTCCCTCCTCCCCGTGAGAGGTGCTGAAGGCACCTGGGGGTCCCCCCCGTGAGAGGGGCTGAGGGCCCTGGGGGCTCCCTCCTCCCCGTGAGAGGTGCTGAAGGCACCTGGGGGTCCCCCCCGTGAGAGGGGCTGAGGGCCCTGGGGGCTCCCTCCTCCCCGTGAGAGGTGCTGAAGGCACCTGGGGGTCCCCCCCGTGAGAGGGGCTGAGGGCCCTGGGGGCTCCCTCCTCCCCGTGAGAGGTGCTGAAGGCACCTGGGGGTCCCCCCCGTGAGAGGGGCTGAGGGCCCTGGGGGCTCCCTCCTCCCCGTGAGAGGTGCTGAAGGCACCTGGGGGTCCCCCCCGTGAGAGGGGCTGAGGGCCCTGGGGGCTCCCTCCTCCCCGTGAGAGGTGCTGAAGGCACCTGGGGGTCCCCCCCGTGAGAGGGGCTGAGGGCCCTGGGGGCTCCCTCCTCCCCGTGAGAGGTGCTGAAGGCACCTGGGGGTCCCCCCCGTGAGAGGGGCTGAGGGCCCTGGGGGCTCCCTCCTCCCCGTGAGAGGTGCTGAAGGCACCTGGGGGTCCCCCCCGTGAGAGGGGCTGAGGGCCCTGGGGGCTCCCTCCTCCCCGTGAGAGGTGCTGAAGGCACCTGGGGGTCCCCCCCGTGAGAGGGGCTGAGGGCCCTGGGGGCTCCCTCCTCCCCGTGAGAGGTGCTGAAGGCACCTGGGGG